CCCCCTAGTTATTACACACCAGTTGAGGAAGCAATCACTCGGACACTTTTGCCCCCTACACTCCCCGCATACCCGGAACAGTCGAATTGTGAAACATAGTTTTCTCCCAGATCGAGAGCTTTGAAATCGTCAACATTAGGTTTCACTTTAACCAATCACTAACCTTGCCATTTCTGCCTCTGATTGTTGTTTCGTTTGCTACGAATTCCGTCGAAAACAATGAACAACCTGAGATTCCAAATGAAATCTGATGATGTGACAAGAAAAGCACATGAAATCCCGATGAAACAAAGAATTTCCCATCTTCCCTGAAGTTTACTACTTCGTCCGTTACTCACATAAAGAACAGTGTTTGGGTTCGACTGAAGCAATGTGATGGTTTTCACAAATTTATGTATATCCTAGCGGAGCGGGGGCGGGGGGAGGAAGGGGGCTTGGATTTCATGCATGACGTGCGAGGTAAACAACAACGTGTCCGTTTATTTAATCACCATTAAATGTTGCCAATTCATGTGCTCAGCCCCATTTACTACCATNGTGGTCAGTGGTAAGTATTTTTTATTACACAACGTGATGAACAGCAGACGGGGGCAAACCCGATAGTCACGAGGACCTGTTGTTCAGTGATAGAAACCGGTAACCTAAGCCCCTCGCGGGACGGAGTGGCGAATCACATAAGACCAGGCCGCTAGGTTAGGCGTGGTATTAAACGGGACGCGACAGCAAAGCTGCCTACCACCAAAGTTGGGTGGCGGTGGTGGGGCTCGAACCTCGGACCGTAGGGTTTAAAGAACGCCAGTGACAGCTGAGCATAATTGACAGACAGACAGACAAAGTATTTGGAAATGCATGTCGTGTCTGCCCTCGATTCGTGACGAGCGTGCACATCATGTGCGCGTGTGTGTGATCATGGTGCCCAATTCGGATCCGAATTCTGTTCGTGCATCACATGTGACTGCGAACCAATGGGGACAAGGTGAGACGCCTTGACAACCATGACCAGCCAGGGAACCGGAGTACGAGCATCCAACCGAAATCAACCTTCGCTTTCGCCCTCGTAATGATTCAGTATTATCTGGCCTGTCTTCAATTATTTTTTGTTATCGTGTGATTCAACGTTGTGGAACAAGAGGAGTACATTTGATCTGAATTCGACCATTTCTCGGAAAACGATTGGTTGTTTTGCTATCGTTGTCGCTGTCCAGACTCACTTGACAGGATAACACAAACACGTCTAGCCAACAATTTGGTACGTGGATGGAACAAATTTGATGGAGGTTTTCAACCTAACTGCAAACATTCCGGAAGAGTGGAAACAAAGAACCTCCAGAGCACATAATCGGCACAAATGGACGGATGGTGATGACGATGATGATTATGATTATGCTGCTCGCTAGTTTGATACTTACGTGATTTCCTTCCACATCAAGGAACGCCAAATCGAAGTATTGATATTCGAACGACCCGAGCTTTCCAATAACCAAGTCATACAATTGTTGACCGANGAGACACCTGCCCTGGACCACACAGAGACAGGAGAGAGGGAGGAAGGCAGATTGTGAGAAGGTTCGTCGACTGTGCAACTCAATTACCGACACACTGTGATAAACAATGGGGAATAAGTGATACTTAGAGTCATGCATGTCTATTGCCGCGTGAGAGGTATCGGCAATCTACGTCATCAATGGGAGTATGAGTAGTCGAAACGAGTGGGTTGCGATAAGCAAGGCATGGTCAAGGGTAACGATGACTGAAAACAATGCAAACGTATCTGCTCGACTGGAAGAGGTGATTGATGATTTAAAGAAAATTGTGACCAAAATCGATGAAACGGACAAAATGCTCGAAAAAAAATAAAACTCAACAATTTTTACTCGCAAGTAACCGTGAGTTAAGTGCGAATTTTTCAAGGGTAAGCTATTCTTTACTAGTTACAGACCTTAGGAACAACACAAGAAAATTCCTGATTCACAGTGGTAGTAGAGGTTCCACCTGGGATACGGCCACCAAAGTTTGGTGGAGGTAGAATCACTGTCATCCATTTTAATACCTCGGCTTACTTGTTAAGGCTACTCAAAAACCCACCAATTAGATCCCTGGTTCCCATAACCAAACAGTAGATCGTTGTGACTACGGAGCTTATTTTTCTTTACTACTACACTGAGATGCGGTAACAGTAAACATTTGTATCAATCAAATATTTCCTTGGTGCCAATGGCTTCAGTTGCGTCGCACAAGTCACTCGACCAATCGTGAAAAGGAAATCAGGTGAAATTAAACAGATGGTGTGGAGACAAGGAAATGCACAGATCTATTGGGTAGAGTATGTGCCTCTCGCCCTCCAGGTTGGGGTTCAAAAGACTCGGAAACCGGTTAACTGGTTGGTAACATCGATGGATAAGACAAAGAACCGATAGTAGTTTCGACGCTGTTGTTGATGTTGTTACTTTTTATCGGACCAGAATGCTTGAAAAGGTATGTATGCACAGTTAGACTGTTTGATATGTGCGATGATGACCACAGAGGTTCACTTTGTTTCCCTCTCATTTAAAATGGCCCAATCCCCGTCCACGCTAAATATCCACATTAATTTTGTACGCACTACAAGTTTAGCGGCGATCAGTGGAGTTTGTTTCACTGTATCTCGCTCTACAATGATGATGATGACGCTAGTACTCGTAGCTTTCCACTTTGCCCTCTTCTCGTGACTGTCGGTTTCAGCAAATATACATTGAGGTTGTTCTACTTGGGCACTTCCGAATTGGGTGAATGCGAATAATGAGAACTGGAAGATTACAGGAAAAATCAACTAATACATTTCTCGGTCGCTGAAGAATAACATGTCCATTCGCAGCCAACATGGGAGCGAAAAATGAAGCTGAAGCTGAATTAGTGAATGATGAGATCACAAAAGGTGGAGGATAGTTAGGGTTTTGCTAATACCATGGCCAATCCACGTGAATGTTGGTGTTCCCTAAGGTTCTGTCTGCAAATTCCATCTGTCAAACACATTTTCCGACAATTACTGTTTGGGATAGGTAACATTAAGTAGAAGCAGACAGGACACTTTGGATTGGTCACCGTTTCAATAGTGCATTAAATTTAAGGAGTAAAATTTTGCTTGGTTTGGTTTCGACAGTTGCACGTGTCATTTTTCCGCACCTGCTTCAGAAACAGAAGAGAGTCGTTGAAAGAGAGTTGTGGATGATGAAAAGACAAGACGAGAAGGGATACGCATAAATCAGGTCAAGTTTATATCCCTCGGTTTGTGGTTTCAGGCGTCCGAATAGGTATAGCAAACAGTTGAATCCGAACGCTGAACAGTTTGAAATTTATCATCATCGTACAGTCAGACCCGGTGAAGCGAACTCCATTGATCGCTGCCAAGTTCACAACGTACACAAACTAAGCGATAAAGCACAAGGTGGACAAGGATTGGGCCCAATTATAGGGAGGCAAACAAAGTGAACCTTTATGGGCAACACACTGCACAATCTAACTGTGCAAATATACCTCAAATATTCTGATCTGGTAATAAATGACAACAAGGAAGCTGCTGCTGCTGGAAGCGAATCCATATAGATAATGTTTCATCTCGATTGGTGGTAGAACAGTTCATTTTACTGCTGAAAAATGGAATAGCCTATATGTGAGGATAAGTCCCCGGCACGAATGTCTCTGATGATGGCCGCCTTGCATACAATGATTCAAAGACAGATCGGCGCAGATTTCAATCGATCCATACATGACACTGTGATAATGTAGACACTCAGCTGACCGCCACGGTGACATTCATGAGAACCTACGGCGAATGGCCAACGATGACGGAAGGGCGAAGACGAAGATATCGATTGATTCAAATGTATTGCTTCGGAATATGATTTGTTTCTCAAAAAAGTATTACCGATAGAGAAAAGTGGAGGAAAGAAAGTCATTTGTGATAGACACAATTGTTACCGGTGACTCACGGAGACCTTGAACGATTCCACATGTTCATCCAGGAACGCGACCGTTACATTAATTATCGATTCCTTTGTGATTTCGTTTTTCTTTTCCGTGTGTGGCATGTTAAGGTGTGCATGAGTGATCCTTCAAAGAATAATTCAGGTTCCGCATCCCGTGTGATTGTGGTGCAAGACAATCGTTCTGCAATTTCAAATGGAAAGCTTTTGAAGGAACGAAGCAACACACTCGAGTTTAGAAAATGTAGCACGCTTTTCTTGGGCGTAATCAGTAGGAGATTGAGAAAAATTGAAGTTGAGGAACTTTCCAAGCGGTTAGATGAAAAGGATTTCGTAAGGAACACAAAAACAATAAAATCTAAAAAGTACGTAAACGTCATTTTACGAAACCCTGAACGAGGGTTGTAGAGTAGAACTCAATGGATCACGACAAAGACTTTGTTCGGGCAAAACGATTGAAGCCAAAGCTCAGATAAGTGTCCTGGTGTGATCTTCGTGTCAACGTAACGGAATCGTGCGCTGTTTAATCGATCGGATCGATTGATTCCGCGAGTGGTGTAGAGTAGAAGCTTGCGAATTGAATTGCATTTCGTGCCGTGAAATGTTTTCTTTTTTGGTTATCGTAAACACATCCTCTCAAAATTCCCAGTTAGAGGCAAACTGTGCAAATTGTTATAAAGTGGATTGCTTTTAATGTGTGCAAATCAATTCCATATGACAAACAACTGGCTTCTTCTTTATGAACCTTGTCTACCGTAGATATTCTGTTACCTACCTCTCAGTTGAGTGCCTCTGAAAGCCTCAGTATAGTCGGTGGTGGGAGTCGCCGGGTCGCGGCTGATCACCACTCTATATTATCTTGCGAACGGAGGTCTCAAATAGTTTCTATTGAGGACGCCTTACTCAATGTTTCCCCTTAGGGGTTTTGCCACCAAAGGGAGAGGACGAAAAGCCAACATCTGGGGCAGTAAGCGAGTCGGTGAACCAATGGCAGTTCACCAAGGGGAATAGGCTAAAAGCCCCGATCCCAAACTAACCAAGGAGAGGTGTACGGACCACACCCAACTCAACTTCTTAGTTGTTGCAGTGGTCATCGGCTCGATTGGGTTTTGAGATGTAGCGGGCACCTTGGACATCTGATCGCATCCAAAGGACGTGTGATTAACAGAACACCGGCTACCACGGGATTCCGGTTTTCACACACCCGCTGCCCTGTGGGTCAGACTTTCGCTAGTCAAAGATCCTGATTGTGAATTCCCCGGGAAAAATCAACTGCCCTGACCTGGGTAGCCTGCAGTGTCGCGCCCACAAACAAATCATGGAACTTTCTTTTCATAAAGATCATTGTACTTTGATTTGTTTGGAACGCATTGTGGACTCAAACGTGATATATATATATTCTTTATAAAAGGGAAAATGGTTCATGATTTGCTCGAGGGAGCGAGACTGTTAGGTTGAACAGATCAAAATCAGGTAATTGTTTTAAGCAGTTCACAACCGGAGCCTTCAGCCAATCAAAGCCTGAAACGTATGACAGCGGGGTGGTGTGCGAAAACCGCAATCCACTGGGGGGTCGGTGTCCAGTTCACCGGATTATACATTGGACGGCCCAAACTTCCAAGGTGACCAATACACCTCGATGCCCAATCGAGCCGGTGATCACTACCACGACCAGGAAGGTTTTAGTTTCAGTTTGAACAACCATTAAACATGCACTTCTGCGCGTCGCTTTTGGCTGCCCACTTGGATAAACAATAGGAGGAAAACAATGAGGTTAAAAGTAGGATCGAAGAGAAAATTCAGAATTTCAGTGGACAAATGTTGCAGACAAATTGGAAAGATGCACGAACGCTACTATTTACGACACCCAGCCATATCACTCAGTCTCTAACCACCGGTTACGATCACCCCGAGGTCCCCATCGAAGGATCCTAACAGGACTTATGTGACCCAGACTCTTGGTTAGGGTTTTCATACCCCCATGCCAGGTCTTAGCGTGACCACCTTTGGCTTTATTCCACCCACTACCTGCCTCGG